GTGGGAATCGTCATACCTCATGGGCGGTTGTGGTGGGTAGTGGGGCGGGGTCCCCTCCCCCTGGATCATACAAACCTAAAACTGCTTGCCTTGCCTGCAATGCCTTTCCTCCCTGCTACAGCTCATCCCAAAGGAATTCCCAAGTCAAACAGGACCCCTATCATAGGCAAACTGTCCAAGGACCACAAATCCTGCTTCCTGCCCCTCCCACTGCATCATTAGCACACACACACACACACACACACACACACACACACACACACCCCTCTATTAAAACCACAGCAGCCCAGCTACTGTCATTCATATTATTCATCCTCAAGGCTCACAGCCCAGGAACGGAATGGAAAATATTTTGTCCCCACCTTGCATCTGGAAAGCCAGAGCTCAGAAAAGCCCCAGGTCTCTGACATCACTGGAATCAGACCCAGGAACCTGGGTCTGATACTTCTTTGGGAGTTGTTGAATGAATGAATGAATGAATGAATAAGGAACACTTCCCCCATCAGCCCTTTTCCCTTGGGGGAGTGGTAGACCTCATTCCTTAGCTCTCTAGGTTGGAATGTTGCCTGGAGATTAATTTTAAAATTCCATAACATATTTATCAGGCAGAGTGGGGGCATATACAGTGATTAAGAGCAGGGACTGTGACCCAGATGGCCTAGGTTCAAACCCTGGCTCTATCTTCTCTTAGCTGTGTGACTTGACCTAGCTACTTAACCTCTCTGAGCCTCAGTATCTCCATCTGTATAATGGGGGGAAGGTGATAATAGAATAATAGAAAAAAACAGCGTCAGCATTAGACGATAGATCGGTTGAAAAGCACTCTAGTTGTATGAGCACGGAAGAACTATTTATTTTTTCAAAAATTTTTTTTCAACGTTTTTTATTTATTTTTGGGACAGAGAGAGACAGAGCATGAACGGGGGAGGGGCAGAGAGAGAGGGAGACACAGAATCGGAAACAGGCTCCAGGCTCCGAGCCATCAGCCCAGAGCCCGACGCGGGGCTCGAACTCACGGACCGCGAGATCGTGACCTGGCTGAAGTCGGACGCTTAACCGACTGCGCCACCCAGGCGCCCCCGGAAGAACTATTTATTAAATAAACAGACCCTCTTCACTTACAAATGCTTCCTAAATAAACTCATATGATGTGGGATACATACCCGGGATATATGGAGAAAGATACATCTACATTTAGTAAGGACTTAATTATTATTTCATTCAGTTTGTACTCTAGCCCTATGGGGCAGAGGCTCTCATCATCCCCTTTTCATAATTACAGAATGAGACTCAGAAAGGTTGCTAATTGCCCAAAGCCGTACGGCTATGCTTGAACTCAGTCGATCTCGAGATACAAACTCTCAACCCCAACGCTGGTGCACCTCTCTTAGTCCCTACCCTCAAGGGGCTTCCACTCTGATGGGAAAACAGACATTGGACAGAGTACACAAAAGAATGAACAGCACGTCAGATGACTGCTGTGACGGATTTGATGAAGGGCGGACACAGGACATGGAGAACATAAGCACCAACTGGCTGGGCTGCAAGAAAGCTAAAAAGCAGGCACTATGTTTGAAGTGGGAACAGAGAGTACTTTTCCAAGGGGAGACTTTCTGGGTGGTTCAGAGGGACTAGGGACAAAGGATTGGGTGCTTAGAGCCATGCCTGTGTGCTAACTCTAGGGGCGCTGTTTGATGCAGAGCAACGCACCCAGAAGAGGCAGAGACTGGTTGGGAGGTGGGGCCACTTCCTGGGTGGGGCATTTGTGTGCACAGGCACGCAGACCACACAGGGATTGCCATGTTCCTTTTTAAAAATCCTTTTGCCAGCAACTCAGGACCCAGAACTTTTGACCACCAATGTGGGGGGTGGGGGGAGCAGGGGACGCCTGAGCCCTGGATAGGGCAGGATTCCACCCACCTAGGTACCCTGCCCGAGGTCCCACACAACCTAGTGTGAGGGAGGGAGAGAGAGATAGAGCCTCTTACCTTGTAGGCACTCGATAATATTTTGTTGAATGAATGAATGAATAAGGAACACTTCTCCCAGCCCCTCTTTCTTTGAGGGAGGGGTGGACCTCATTCTCCAATTCTCTAGGTTGGAATGTTGCCTGGGGATAGAAAACAAAACAGAACAAAACATTTTGGTCAGAGGAGAAGGACACTGAATTGTTATTTTTCAGCAATTTTTACAGATAAAAAGTTGCTGCCTTGGTATAGGGAACCCAAGGGGTATTATTAGGATTGGGTTAGGCCATGGCCTAGAAAATGACAGAGTATTTGGGGTGGGGGTGGGGGGAATCAGTTAAAAAAAAATCTCACCCAAAAATTGCCCCTGAAATTATCTGTATGTGGGGAACTTTCGGGGCCAGTTATGTCTGTACCTCCCAGGACTGGGCTTTGGTGGGGACCCTGAGGGTGGCAGATACGACCACCCCAATGGGGGCTCATGAGGATTAAACCCTGGAATAAAATTCAGCTGCGTAGAATTTCTTTCAGTCCTCACTATGACACTGAATGGGAGGGAGCACTTGTCCCTATTTTACGAAGGAGGAAAGGGGGTTTAGGAAGGTAAAGTACCCACAGTGCCCTGGGCAGGGCCTGAGACTCTTCTGAGAGTAGGACCAGAAGTTTCTCAAGGCCTCTCTGGGCCTGAGGATGGACTATTCAGACCCCGTGCTGTGCTGGCTGAGGGAGCACAGGGAGAGTGAGGTGGGGGCTGTGACTGGCCAGGCTCCATCGTCCCCAAGCCCAGCTCTTTTCCTTAGAGGGAGAGCCAAGGAAAACCAGGAACAGGCCCAACACCATCTGGATGGGGACAGAGTACAGAGACGCTGAGATGGGTGGAAGCTGTAGCCAAGAGAGCTGGGGAGAGGCAGCCTCAGGGGGGAAGGGGAAGGATACAGACAGCTTTGGAGGTGGAGGCTGAGTGGTAGGGAACTGGGTTCTGGGATTGGAGTCCCACTCCCCTTACCAGCTCCTCACGGTGTCCTGGAAAGGGGCCTACACCAGCCTCTACCTTCTCTGCCTCCGCCCCATAACAAGACTCCACCCACCTGCTAATGTCCTCTGCCCTCCCCTCACCATCACTCCTGCGCCCTGATCTGCTCAGGCCAAGGCCAAGCCCTGCTGGGTCCCCTCCCATCCCCCTTCCCCTGGCCTTCCTGGAAACCTGCTCTGTCCAGCCTTGGAGGGTTTCCTGGGGGCCTTCTGGCCTTGAACTCGACTTTGGGCAATGGGTGGGTTCTCAAAGTCTTGGCGATCTTGTCATGGGGATCTTGGGGACTCAGCCTTCTTTGGTCTCTACTGGCAGGAATGTCCCCCCCCGTCCTTTTCCTCTCCACTTCCATTTTTGTCTGGCTTCATGGGAGGAGAAAGCATATATGGAGGTGCCCTGCCTGGTGTTGGAGGGGGTACTCTTTGGTTTTCTCTCTCTCAGGTAGGCCCCCCAGAATCACAAAACCTGGATAGCTAGGGTCACATGAGGTCAGACCACATCTTTAGAGGGTTGTCTCTGCTCTTTGCAAAGCCCTCATCGGTTTATACCAAACACAGTAGTGGGGGGTGGGCCCACGGACCTGTGTACAGTGACAACAGGGACTGAGTGTGGGGAAGGAAACTGTCCCCCAGGCAGACCTTATTTGTCTATAAACACAGTCCACCCCATGCCCCCGGGGCAGAGTGGGGGCAAAGCCACCAGCCTGACTGGGACTCCTCTCCTTCTACTGCCCTGGGAGGGGGCCCAGACACACACCCCTGCCTCCCCACATACGGGCTCTCCCTTCTAGCACCACTGAGTTGTTTCCACAGCAAGCTGGACTATGTTCTGTAAACTGCAGTCCCCTAGTCAGGCAGCCCCCAGCGAAAGGACAGGTGTCCTGCCATCACTGCACCTGTGTGTGTGTGTGTGTGTGTGTGTGTGTGTGTGTGTGTTAGGGGGCAAGTGGGGGAGAAGGGGGAGGCCGATGGGGATAAAGGCCTTTTGTA